GGTGAAGCTGGTTGAGAGAATGACAAGAGTGTGCAAAGCTGTCATCAAGGCAAAGGGTGGTTATTTGAAGAATCTCAAATATAAAATACTACATGATTCCATATGTGTTATTTCATACTTTTGATGTCTTCACTATTATTCTGCAATGTAAAAAATAGTAATAACTACGAAAAATCCTCAAAATTGGCTATATCGTAAAAAATGTGTTTTAAGGTTAGGGTTAGGCATTATGGTTAGCAGTGAGGTTAAGGTTAGGTTTAAGGTTAGGGTTAGGTTTCAAATCTGATTTTATGACTTTGTGGCTGTGCCAGCTAGTGCCCACTCTGCCTAGCTGCCTCCAGGGCAAGATTCATGACAATAAATGCTCACCAGACCCCCTGTGATTTCACAAGAAACGAAACATAGAGAATCCATTTGCGGAAGTGCAGTTTTCATTACATTAGCAAATACTTCCACCCCTGTGGCTATATAAGCAGTGGAATTTCATAAGGGTTTTAAAAGAACCACGACGCACACAGCAAGACACAAGAGGTAAGACATTTGAGAATCAGAATGTCATCTATGGAAAAGCCTAAATTAACTATTGTCCTCAGTGCTGCATAAACAATACTGTTTGATTATATTAGATATACTTGATTGTGTCTTGTACACATACATTTACTTTATGTATAGAAAATGGACTCCGTTAAAAATCAACAAAATGTGATATGATGTCTTATCAATACAATGTATGGAGTGGAAATAGCACAGTGCATTGTAGACTGTATGATCCAGTTGCCTTACTGAATGCAGGTATTTGAAGTGAAGCATTAGATTTTTTGCAGATACAGCATTACTTGTATTTTTGTGTAGAATAACATTTTCCTATTTTAGTACAAAAAAAATTGCATCAGCTAAAACGATTAATGGTGGTTCTTATTGTTGGGGAAGATGGTATAATATATAGACATTAAAGCTTTATGCCAATGGTTTTGCTAATGGACGTTGTGAGGTGGGCATATTTAAGCATGAAACACACTGAGAATCGCACTGCCGATAACAGTGGGAGGCCGTTCCTTCTCTTGCTAGAACAAACGCGGTACGTACTGCGTACTGACCCGGTAGCGACGAACCTGCCGTTTCAACTTGTAGAATCGCAATGCTTGTCAGTATCAAACAACTTTCGCAATGTTCGTCAGTGTCCAACAACTTGACTTTGAGCCAATCAGAGAGCCACAGGAGTGACAACAAACAGGAAAAAGAGGCATCCACGGTTAAATGTCATGAGCCAGTCACACTCCATATACAGTGCCATGAAAAAGTATTTGCCCCCTTTCTAATTTTCTCTACGTTTGCATATTTCTGATTGTGAATGTTAGCAGATCTTCAACCAAAACCTAGTATTAGATAAAGGAAACCTGAGTGTACAAACAACACAACAATGACATACTTATTTCATTTATTTCATAAACCAAGTTATGCAACACCCAATGGCCCTGTGTGAAAAAGTAATTTCCCCCACTGGTTGTGCCACCTTTAGCTGCAATGAATCCAACCAAACACTTCCTGTAGTTGTTGATCAGTCTCTCACGTCACTGTGGAGGAATTTTGGGCCCACTCTTCCATGCAGAACTGCTGTAACTCAGCGACAATTGTGGGCTTTCAAGCATGAACTGCTCGTTTCAAGTCCTGCCACAACATCTCAATTGGGATTAGGTCTGGACGTTGACTAGGCCATTCCGAAACTTCACATTTGTTGCATTTTAGCCATTTTCATGTAGACTTGATTGTGTGTTTTGGAGTATTGTCTTGCTGCATGACCCAGATGTGCTTCAGCTTCAGCTCACAGACGGATGGCCTGACCTTCTCCTGTATATTAAACTGATACAGAGCAGAATTCATGGTTCCTTCTATTAAGGCAAGTCGTCCAGGTCCTGAGGCAGCAAAGCATCCCCAAACCATCACACCACCACCACCATGCTTGACCGTTGGTATGAGGTTCTTAATGTGGAATGCAGTGTTTGGTTTTCAGCAGGCATAATGGAACCCATGTCGTCCAAAAAGTTATACTTTTGGATCATCTGTCCATAGAACATTCTTCCAAGAGTCTTGATGATCATCCTTGTGCTTCCAGGTGCTTTTTGGCAAACTTGAGTCAACTTTTTGGACAACATGGGTAACATTATGCCTTTGCTGTGTAAACACAAAATAAACTGCCTGCCTACACTCTGTTTAGAGGTGCTAAGTACTGTCGGCAGGCAGTGATGTAAAGTACTTAAGTAAAAAATAAGTCGTTTTTTGGGGTATCTGTACATTACTTTATATTTATTTTGACTACTTTTACTTTTACTTCACTACATTCTTAAAGAAAATTATGTACGTTTTACTCCATACATTTACAGTGACACCCAAAAGTACTTGTTACATTTTGAATGCTTAGCTGGACAGGAACATTTTCTAATTCACACACTTATCAAGAGAACATCCCTGGTCATCCCTACTGCCTCTGATCGTGCGGACTCACTAAACACATGCTTTGTTTGTAAATGATCTCTGAGTGTTGGCGCATGCCCCTTGGCTATTCATCAATTTAAAAATCAAGAAAATGATGCCGTCTGGTTTGCTTTATATAAGGAATTTGAAATTAGTTATACTTTAACTTTAACTTTTGATACTTAAGTATATTTTAGCAATTACATTTACTTTTGATATTTAAGTATATTTAAAACCAAATACTTTTATACTTTTACTAAAGTAGTATTCTACTGTGTGACTTTCACTTTTACTTGAGTCATTTTCTATTAAGGTATCTTTACTTTTACTAAAGGATGAAAATTGCATACTTTTTCCCACCACTGTCAGCAAACGGTTTTACAATCCTACCGGTGTGTCTGAGCTATAATTAGGGGACCCATGTTGCCTCAAGAGCACCCCCAGAGGCAAAAGTTCTGTATAGCCTATTTAATATGGTTTATACCATAAGGCAAAAACTGGACTGTATGATTCCTCTTCCATTTCCCTCTTTTTCTATTGCTTATCTGTTTGTCAATTTCCCAAGCTGGCTGGTGAAAATGCAGAAGCGTGGAATCACTCTGTGGCTGCTGTTGCTTCTCCATGTCCCTGGACTAGACTCTGCAACATGGAATCTATTCAGTGAGTTCAATTTAGCCTGGTTTGTACTGTGTTGTCAACTCCTACAGTCATTGGCATGCCAAAGGCCATGGCCATACAGCACAAACAGATCTGGGACCAGGATAAGTTCAGTTAGCCAAAGGCACAATGAAATCTGATATTCCCCTATCACAATTAAGTAATGTTAGTTTGTGAATGACAATGACATGATGTTTTAATAGCAGACTTTCCAATGAATCAGGAATAGGCCAATCATGTAGTGTACTCCTCAAGTTCCTGTTTGCAAAACACAAACAAGTTGGTTCATGCTTTGTACTGTAGTCTAATAGAAATGTAAGCAAACAGCATAGTTGCATAAATCTGTGGTCGGTTGTAGCTCATCAGTCCAATTTTTAAACTGACTAACTTAAAATCCTCACCCTCTCTGTGCTCACAGGTAAGTCCTCGACAGAGCCCCCACAGGAGGGTGAGGTGAGGCTGGTGGGGGGTAAACAGGACTCAGAGGGTCGAGTGGAGGTGTACCACGAGGGGAAATGGGGGACCGTCTGTGACGATGGCTGGGACCTGGCCGAGGCTCAGGTGGTGTGTCGTCAGCTGAAGTTCCCTGGCGTTATATCTGCTGTCACTGGAGGGACTTATGGAGAGGGTGAGTATCTTACAAAGGGTCATGTTCATTAGGCACCAAATGGAAGAAAATGGACTGAAACAGGGAGGGACTACCTGGGTCGTATTCACAAGGCACAAAATGGAAGAATGAAACAGAGTGAAATGGGGAGGTACTATCAGATCTTGTGCAATAAGGAATGCTCCTTTTCATTTTCTGTCAGCACAACAATTTGAAACCTTTTGCTACAGTTTGCCTGATGAATATGACTCCTTGCATGAGTTTGCCAAAAGGAGGCAGTGGAAAAATATAAGTATTAGTAGCATTGTCAATAACTCTGAATCCCAAATCAAACCTCAGCAACCCCTACCCCCTAGGGACTTTTGTAAAAATATGAGAGGATTGAATAAGCGTTAGCAATATGATGACAAGGAATTTGGGATTCTTGGAGGGAGCAAGTTCAAATAGGCAGTGATTTGTGGGAATGGCAGGCAGCACCAGCAGAAAGAGTCAACTAACATAATTTTATACACCACAATATAATATTTTGCATATTTCTGCACATGATTTTGCTTGCTCTTTGTTTATCCTCTGTTTTGTGTATCCAAGGATCGGGTTCAATCTGGTTGGATGATATGAACTGCAAAGGAACCGAGAAGTCCCTGTCCAGCTGTCCTTTCAAGGGCTGGGCGTTGACCGACTGTTCCCACAAGGAGGACGCAGGGGTCGTTTGTGAGAGAGGTACTACACTTTTCCCTGATTCCTTTGCTCCTAGCTCCTCGTCTCCTGCTGAAAAGTCTCCACGCCTCCTTCTCAAAACGGCAGAGATGTTTTTAGGAGGTGAGTTAAGAGGATGCAAGGAATTGAGGAAAATACATTTGAGATTCACCCAGTGTGTCACGATCGTTTACGAACGAGAAGGACCAAGGCGCAGCGTGATAAGCATACATGTTTATTTAACGAATAAACACCACGACAAAACAACAAACGAAACGTGAAGTCCAAGGTAGCATACACACAACATACCTTACACGGAACAAGATCCCACCACTAACTGGTGCCAACAGGCTGCCTAAGTATGGTCCCCAATCAGAGACAACGAGCAACAGCTGCCTCTGATTGGGTACCACACAGGCCAACATAGATCTACACATTCTAGATCTTAAACATAGAACATCGACATAGCAAACACAACACAGAAAATACACACCCTGACTCAACAAATACAAGTCCTCAGAGTCAGGGCGTGACAGTACCCCCCCCCCCCCCCCCAAAGGTGCGGACTCCGACCGCGCCACATAAACATAACAGGGTAGGGGCCGGGTGGGCATTCCGCCTCGGAGGCGGATCCGGCTCCGGGCGTGACCACCACTTACTCTCCACCTCCCTGTTGCGCCCCTGGTCTGGTCTGGACCTCGGCGCGCTGCTTCCCCTCTCCTTCCTCCCACGACGTACCAAGCCCTGTCTGGACCCTGGTGTGGGAGACCCCGAACCTGGAGAGGGGCTGACGTCTGGGTCTGGACTGGAACCACTGACTGGAGCTGGACCCGACGACGGTGGATCGAACTGCTCTGGCTCCGGAGTGGAGCCGCTGACCGGAGCTGGACCGGACACTGGTGGAGCGGATTGCTCTGGCTCCGGAGTGGATCCGCTGACCGGAGTTGGACCGGACCCTGGTGGAGCGGATTGCTCTGGCTCCGGAGTGGAGCAGCTGACCGGTGCCGTACCAGGCACCGGTGAAACAGGCACGGGCCGTGCCGGACTGGACACACGCACCACTGGCTTGGTGCGGGGAGCAGGAACGGGCCGGACCGGGCTTGCGACGCGCACCACTGGCTTGGTGCGGGGAGCAGGAACGGGCCGTACCGGACTGGCGACGCGCACCACTGGCTTGGTGCGAGGGGCAGGAACAGGCCGGGCCGGGCTGGCGACGCGCACCACAGGCTTGGTGCGAGGGGCAGGAACAGGCCGGGCCGGGCTGGCGACGCGCACCACTGGTTTGATGCGAGGGGCAGGAACAGGCCGGGCCGGCCTGGCGACGCGCACCACAGGCTTGGTGCGAGGGGCAGGAACAGGCCGGACCGGGCTGGCGACGCGCATCACTGGTTTGGTGCGAGGGTCAGGAACAGGCCGGGCCGGGCTGGCGACGCGCACCACTGGCTTGGTGCGAGGGACAGGTACAGGCCTGGACCGGGCTAGCGACGCGCACCACTGGCTTGGTGCGAGGGACAGGAACAGGCCGGACCGGGCTGGCGACGCGCACCACTGGCTTGGTGCGAGGGGCAGGAACAGGCCGGACCGGGCTGGCGACGCGCACCACTGGCTTGATGCGAGGAGCAGGAACGGGCCGGACCGTACTGGGAACACACACCACTGGCTTAGTGCGGGGAGCAGGAACGGGTCGGGCCGTACTGGGAACACGCACCACTGACTTAATGCGGGGAGCAGGAACGGGCCGGACCGGACTGGCGACACGCACCACTTTCTTGGTGCGAGGAGCGGGACTGGGTTCCTTTATAAACCCCCGCTCCTTCTGCTGCCTAACCAGCTCCTCTCGCCGTGCCTCTACACTCTCCTTCTCCCTTATCGCCTCCTGTAGCGCCTCCCTCTGACCTAATAACTTCTGCTCCCTCTGAACCAATAGCCCCCTTAACCTGGTGGCCTCCTCTCCTAACCTGCAGATCCGCCCTGTCGCTGCCTCCTGCTGCCTCGTCGTCCACACCGTGTGCCCCCCCAAAATTTTTTTATTGGGGTTGCCTCTCGGGTCTCCGTCGTCGGCACTGTTGGCGCCGTTTCTCCTCTCCTACCTGGGCATCCTCCTTCATCGCCTTCCGGTAGCGGACGGCCTCCTCCTCCGTGATTCTCCCCCAACCGAGGAGGACATCTACTAACGTAACCTCCTGTTTAATTCCCGGCGTTTGCTCCTGAACACGCTGCTTGGTCCTATTTTGGTGGGATCTTCTGTCACGATCGTTTACGAACGAGAAGGACCAAGGCGCAGCGTGATAAGCATACATGTTTATTTAACGAATAAACACCACGACAAAACAACAACCGAAACGTGAAGTCCAAGGTAGCATACACACAACATACCTTACACGGAACAAGATCCCACCACTAACTGGTGCCAACAGGCTGCCTAAGTATGGTCCCCAATCAGAGACAACGAGCAACAGCTGCCTCTGATTGGGAACCACACAGGCCAACATAGATCTACACATTCTAGATCTTAAACATAGAACATCGACATAGCAAACACAACACAGAAAATACACACCCTGACTCAACAAATACAAGTCCTCAGAGTCAGGGCGTGACACAGTGTGTCTGCAGACTCTGTTTGACCAAGGTTAGGGAAGAAACATACATTTTAACCCATAAAAACTACACAAGGTTATTTTCCTGGTTAAATAAAGGGATGAATTAATGAATTAATACATGTTCCTAACTTCACTGAAACTAAAAGACACACTATCAGCCCTACATATTCCTACTAATCATGTACAGTCCTAATCATGTGCATTCCTCATACTGTACAGGCACAGATTTGACCAGTGACACAGCCCATTTCCTGGACCACAGTCTGGGCCTGTCAGATGACCTGGGCGAGTTGTTTGACCGTGGGGATGACTGTGACATCATCATCGCATTCCAGAGCCCCACAGGGAACAGAGACGGGGAGGGGAAGTTAGAGGTGGAGGAAAGGAACATCTGCACCCACAAACTGATCCTCTCTCTCTACCCACACTTCAACATCACCAATGGGTCCAGTAGCCTCTCCGTAGAGATTAGCCAAGCCTGCAGCCCCCATGTCACCAGCTTCATCAGGTACTAGTCTATGAACCTTAACAGGTGCTATTTAGATATACTGTATGTTTATTGGATTAAATACATACACAAGAATGTTGTACAGTGAGGGAAAAAAGTATTTGATCCCCTGCTGATTTTGTACGTTTGCCCACTGACAAAGAAATGATCAGTCTATAATTTTAATGGTAGGTTTATTTGAACAGTGAGAGACAGAATAACAACAAAAAAATCCAGAAAAACGCATGTCAAAAATAATTATAAATTTATTTGCATTTTAATGAGGGAAATAAGTATTTGACCCCTCTGCAAAATATGACTTAGTACTTGGTGGCAAAACCCTTGTTGGCAATCACAGTGGTCAAACGTTTCTTGTAGTTGGCCACCAGGTTTGCACACATCTCAGGAGGGATTTTGTCCCACTCCTCTTTGCAGATCTTCTCCAAGTCATTAAGGTTTCGAGCCTGACGTTTGGCAACTCGAACCTTCAGCTCCCTCCACAGATTTTCTATGGGATTAAGGTCTGGAGACTGGCTAGGCCACTCCAGGACCTTAATGTGCTTCTTCTTGAGCCACTCCTTTGTTGCCTTGGCCGTGTGTTTTGGGTCATTGTCATGCTGGAATACCCATCCACAACCCATTTTCAATGCCCTGGCTGAGGGAAGGAGGTTCTCACCCAAGATTTGACGGTACATGGCCCTGTCCATGGTCCCTTTGATGCGGTGAAGTTGTCCTGTCCCCTTAGCAGAAAAACACCCCCAAAGCATAATGTTTCCACCTCCATGTTTGACGGTGGGGATGGTGTTCTTGGGGTCATAGGCAGCATTCCTCCTCCTCCAAACACGGCGAGTTGAGTTGATGCCAAAGAGCTCGATTTTGGTCTCATCTGACCACAACACTTTCACCCAGTTCTCCTCTGAATCATTCAGATGTTCATTGGCAAACTTCAGACGGGCATGTATATGTGCTTTCTTGAGCAGGGGGACCTTGCGGGCGCTGCAGGATTTCAGTCCTTCACGGCGTAGTGTGTTACCAATTGTTTTCTTGGTGACTATGGTCCCAGCTGCCTTGAGATCATTGACAAGATCCTCCCGTGTAGTTCTGGGCTGATTCCTCACCGTTCTCATGATCATTGCAACTCCACGAGGTGAGATCTTGCATGGAGCCCCAGGCCGAGGGAGATTGACAGTTCTTTTGTGTTTCTTCCATTTGCGAATAATCGCACCAACTGTTGTCACCTTCTCACCAAGCTGCTTGGCGATGGTATTGTAGCCCATTCCAGCCTTGTGTAGGTCTACAGTCTTGTCCCTGACATCCTTGGAGAGCTCTTTGGTCTTGGCCATTGTAGAGAGTTTGGAATCTGATTGATTGATTGCTTCTGTGGACAGGTGTCTTTTATACAGGTAACAAGCTGAGATTAGGAGCACTCCCTTTAAGAGTGTGCTCCTAATCTCAGCTCGTTACCTGTATAAAAGACACCTGGGAGCCAGAAATCTTTCTGATTGAGAGGGGGTCAAATACTTATTTCCCTCATTAAAATGCAAATCAATGTATAACATTTTTGACATGCGTTTTTCTGGATTTTTTTGGTTGTTATTCTGTCTCTCACTGTTCAAATAAACCTACCATTAAAATTATAGACTGATCATTTATTTGTCAGTGGGCAAACGTACAAAATCAGCAGGGGATCAAATACTTTTTTCCCTCACTGTATGTCTTAAAGGGGAAGCTCTGTCGTAGCCGGCCGCGACCGGGAGACCCATGGGGCGGCGCACAATTGGCCCAGCGTCGTCCAGGGTAGGGGAGGGAATGGCCGGCAGGGATGTAGCTCAGTTGGTAGCGGTGGCTAAAGTAAGCTGAAGTTTGTACTGGCTGTTTTAAAGAAAACCTAACCATGGATTACAATTTGTCCTGGCCCATAGACTAATTTCATCCAACATGAAGTTGTAAAATGCAGAATTTACCGCACCGTACAACCCAAAATCCAAATGTGTCAGAGAATTTTAGACCTCAAAAGTAGACTGTAAAGATGAATCCATGTCTCGTTGCATCAATTGTGTAGATCCAGGGTGATTGTGCCTTACTTAAAGCACAGTTTCTCTCTATCCAACACCACTGGCTGAATGTCCTTTTTAGCTATGATATCTCCTAAATTTTTTTGAATAAAAGTTAATTTATTTAAATGTCCTTGCTCTGGTTCTCTAGGTACCTTTACACCCGCAAGATCGACGTGACCGTCTCCTCCGCCCAGTGCCTCCACAAGCTGGCCTCAAAGTTCGGGGTGAAACGGCTGATGCAGGACACCGGCAGGCTCTTCACTGTACTCCTCCCTGAGGACCCCTCCTTCCACACCCAGGCCTCTCTGTACCAGTACTCTGTCCAGACCGGGGACCTGCTGCTTAAGGAGAACTGCCTCCAGTACCTGGCCTGGAACTGCGAGGCTCTGATCAACTCCCCGGCCTGGAATGACCTCTCCACAGACTTCCTGATGGCCCTCTTGGCACGCTCTGACCTAGTGATACCGGACGAGGGGTTCCTCCTGCAAGCGCTGGAGAGTTGGATCATAGAGAAGGGTGACTCGACTGGCACCAAGAGCCAGGTGGCCCTGTTAGGCCACATCCGCTTCCCGATGATCCCCACTGAGAAGCTCTACAACCTGCAGTTTACCTCGGAGCTCTACAGGAGCCACGAGAAGCTCTATCGTGTCAGCATGCTCAGAGGCTTCCAGTTCAACGCCTTGTCGTTCGAAACTCTGAGGAAGCACAAAAGCAGCGAGAGTGAAGAAGAGCACGATTACTATCCCAGGATCTACACTGCTGAGCCATGGAGCTTCACCATCAACTCAACCAACAAGGAGCCACCACGCCAAGATATTCGATATGATTATAACAGGCGCTACAGCCACTACCAAATGTATTACCCCACTCCAGCCACAGATTATGGCAAGTCATTCACCACACCAAACCACAATAGTGTGATTTACCAGACCAAAGGCACCAACCCCCTCAGTTGGTCAGCAAGAGTCTTTAAGAACCAACAAGAATGTTCTAGGTGTATTTCCTTCCCCACTGCCAGCCTCTCTCTCCAAAGCAGCCTTAGACACCAAAACCAGACCAACAGTGTTCGCTTCAGCAACCGACTGCTCCTAACATGCGAGGGCAGGTATGTCTTTCACGTACAGGACTTCAAGAACAACATGGCCCAGATCCCTACTAACATCAGTCTGGCCCTGTCCTACCCCTGTCCTAAAGGCCAGTATGACTTTCGGTTCGTGGTGAGACCAGAATACATCTGATAGCACTGCCTGGCACAGATGCAACAATGTTCCTAACACACATCCAAAAATCAAATAATGATGTCCCTGTTGCCAATCAATTGCTTATTTTTTTCTATACAATAGTTTGAAATTATGGTACTGTAGTTTTGGAAATATGTGATTGATTTGATTATAACCTTTTGTTGATTTGCTGAAAGCAAGTATTAAGCAAAAACTATAACATCTATGCTTGCACTTGAATAAAGGCATTTTAACATACAGGGATGTGGATTATGTTTTTTTTCCCCCAGATGATGGCTAGTGCTTCCCATAGAGATAGCTAGAGGACTCTAGTGCCCAAAGCCTGTTTTACCATGGCCAGCGCCATTGAGGACTGTCACCATTTTGAAGAAGTCTACTGGGTGTGTGGGACTTCCTATGGGTTAAGGAAGGATCACATAATTCCAATCAGGTCATCAGGAGGGATCAGCCAATGAATTAAAGTTGTGAGCAAATATTCCATTACTGAAGGTGGCAGTAAATCGGCCACCTTGGCTATATACCTGTTCAAACAACACACTCCAGGTGGCAGTATGCACCCTTTCAGTTTGTTTGCCAACTCATAGAAGTAGTAGAAGAAGAAAACTGACTACTTCAAAATGGAGTTGGCCTCAATGGTGCTGCCAGTGCTCTCACAGAGACCATAATAGGACAGATTCAAAGATGGACCATGTCTGTTATTCCTCCATTAGATGGGGTCATTCCTTCAATCATATTCAGTGGTAAATGCTCCATATGGAGGCTGAATTGGGTTAAAAGGTATGAGTTCCTCTTTGGCCAAACTACTCCCTAACCTCTCTGAGACTTCACTCACATTTTCGGGTAAATTACCATAATCTTCGGCAACCATAACATACTGCTGACTTGTCCGATGGGAAAGTCCCTTTCTGACCTTAAAGTCAATCTCTCTGTGTAGGGTATGATGACATATTGATTAATCGGTTGCAGAATGGTTTTATATGGGCTATGATGAGAACAGAGTTTTTCTAATCAGATCACATAGATTTAAACTCCTGGAAAAACTCCTGGCCCTATAGGGAGGATGAAAACCCTGTCAAAATGCAGCAACCTTCAAATCAAATCAAAGTTTATTGGTCGAGTACACCCAACGCTTAATTTGTAAATTGGGAGGTGCCGGAACAAAAAGTGAGCGCGAGAGGAGGGTGACCTGGGGAGCGCTGAGGTACCGGAACGCATGAGGGGAAAGAAATATCCTTTATAATAAAGCATTGCGCGCATATCATAGCATTTACGTAGTGGCATAGAGCAGTAGAGTAGAGGCACTTACAGAAGATGCACACATGGGGAAAATTTTAGTAGCCTTGGGTCAAGGGAAAATGTGGCCTTTTATAAACGCATTTCATGCAATTCTACATCATTTTACATGACTGGAGACTTTGGCAGAATATTTTTTAATACCGCACAAATTATTGAAATGACAGGCTACTTTGACACTGACAAACTGAGAATCTGAGATCAATAAAAACAACATTGAATCCATCAATAGCATAGGCCTAGGTGTGTGGAGACATATTGTAGGCTACACTATGAGGAGGAAATTATCATCCTAAAAATGATATCCAGTTTTACTGACTCACCCAATCATGCGCAGATCATTCGCTGGTGATGGCAGATGCGTTCGTGCCAAAAGCCTATCTCTGTTGTTTTACTGTGTAAAACAATATTTGGAAGATTATCAAATATTTTGTTAACCTACAGCAGACATATTAGAGTCTTCTCTTTTCAGCAGGAGACATATTGTTTCCAACCTATGTTTTCATGCGATTGCTTTTTAAATATTGTGAAAGGCCTGTTTTGTCTGCATGCTGTGTCAGATTTGCCGCGCGTTTACGACTCTAGGCTATGCCTTGGTTTTGGGCTAAACACAATTCACAGCTAGGCAATAAAAAATAGGCATTTTCATGGTGTAGTAGGCTATTCAGAATTATTTCATGTCTTTCTGAACAGACAGCAGTAATTATATAACTTTGGCAAGTGTATTGGAATGTATCAGGGGTGCTGCAGCTCCTCCAGAACCCTTCGCGTGTCTAGGATTCTATAAGGAAATAAATGATGAAGTGCAACGCTGGAGAGATGAGAGTTTCAGGCTCATGTCTATCAGAGCAGAGAGAGGGAGAGAGATCATAGAAAGTGAATCTTATTCTAGTTCTGTGAGATATACAGTGGGGGAAAAAAGTATTTAGTCAGCCACCAATTGTGCAAGTTCTCCCACTTAAAAAGATGAGAGAGGCCTGTAATTTTCATCATAGGTACACGTCAACTATGACAGACAAATTGAGAAAAGAAAATCCAGAAAATCACATTGTAGGATTTTTAATGAATTTATTTGCAAATTATGGTGGAAAATAAGTATTTGGTCACCTACAAACAAGCAAGATTTCTGGCTCTCACAGACCTGTAACTTCTTCTTTAAGAGGCTCCTCTGTCCTCCACTCGTTACCTGTATTAATGGCACCTTTTTGAACTTGTTATCAGTATAAAAGACACCTGTCCACAACCTCAAACAGTCACACTCCAAACTCCACTATGGCCAAGACCAAAGAGCTGTCAAAGGACACCAGAAACAAAATTGTAGACCTGCACCAGGCTGGGAAGACTGAATCTGCAATAGGTAAGCAGCTTGGTTTGAAGAAATCAACTGTGGGAGCAATTATTAGGAAATGGAAGACACACAAGACCACTGATAATCTCCCTCGATCTGGGGCTCCACGCAAGATCTCACCCCGTGGGGTCAAAATGATCACAAGAACGGTGAGCAAAAATCCCAGAACCACACAGGGGGACCTAGTGAATGACCTGCAGAGAGCTGGGACCAAAGTAACAAAGCCTACCATCAGTAACACACTACGCCGCCAGGGACTCAAATCCTGCAGTGCCAGACGTGTCCCCCTGCTTAAGCCTGTACACGTCCAGGCCCGTCTGAAGTTTGCTAGAGTGCATTTGGATGATCCAGAAGAGGATTGGGAGAATGTCATATGGTCAGATGAAACCAAAATAGAACTTTTTGGTAAAAACTCAACTCGTCGTGTTTGGAGGACAAAGAATGCTGAGTTGCATCCAAAGAACACCATACCTACTGTGAAGCATGGGGGTGGAAACATCATGCTTTGGGGCTGTTTTTCTGCAAAGGGACCAGGACGACTGATCCGTGTAAAGGAAAGAATGAATGGGGCCATGTATCGTGAGATTTTGAGTGAAAACCTCCTTCCATCAGCAAGGGCATTGAAGATGAAACGTGGCTGGGTCTTTCAGCATGACAATGATCCCAAACACACCGCCCGGGCAACGAAGGAGTGGCTTCGTAAGAAGCATTTCAAGGTCCTGGAGTGGCTTAGCCAGTCTCCAGATCTCAACCCCATAGAAAATCTTTGGAGGGAGTTGAAAGTCCGTGTTGCCCAGCGACAGCCCCAAAACATCACTGCTCTAGAGGAGATCTGCATGGAGGAATGGGCCAAAATACCAGCAACAGTGTGTGAAAACCTTGTGAAGACTTACAGAAAACGTTTGACCTGTGTCATTGCCAACAAAGGGTATATAACAAAGTATTGAGAAACTTTTGTTATTGACCAAATACTTATTTTCCACCATAATTTGCAAATAAATTCATTAAAAATCCTACATTTTCTGGATATTTTTTTCTCATTTTGTCTGTCATAGTTGACGTGTACCTATGATGAAAATTACAGGCCTCTCTCATCTTTTTAAGTGGGAGAACTTGCACAATTGGTGGCTGACTAAATACTTTTTTTCCCCACTGTACAGGGCGCTACTCACACAGTCATGGCCAAGCGTTGGTCTCAAACATATGTTACACAAACCATAGGCCCAACCCGAATAAACTCAGAATATCAGGCCCAGGCTGAAAATCTAATTAAAGAAAAGGCAACTCGAATGAACTTTGATCGCTTTTATTATAATTTTTACATTGCAAATAGCGACAATTACTTTTCATGCCAGGAGAGGTAGGGATCCGGACAAATAGGTTCCGGAACGAAACAGTCCACAACGGAGAGATGCCGGATCATGTTCCGGGAGGATCCGGTTCAAATTAAGCACTGCCTACACCGACTTGAAGATGTCATCGCTGATGCAGCAAAATGCTTGTGTTTTCTAGCTCCAAAAGTGCCGTAATATCTAGTAATTAAAAAACAATACACACATAATCGAAAAAGTAAAAAAAAGTACAAATGATCAGAACAAGCAATATCAGAGTCCGGAATATAGACATGATGGACAGTATATGAATAGAAAATGTGTGTACAGCAGTAGTTATAGTAAAACCTTGTACTTACTCATTTGAATTATATTTTAAAACTAGACTAACAGGGGGGATTTCGTTACACAGAGACAACTGTGATTAGACAATATAACTAACAGGGCTGAGCTTACTTTATGCAGGGTTGCATCATGTAGGCCCATGGATGGAAATGGCCAGTGCCCCAAATCCTTAAATTCCATCCCTGTGTAGGCCTATATACATCTGTAATTAAAAGTTACAGGTGCATTAACACAGTCTAGCCTATGTCATCACTATTTATTGATTTGATGAATTTTGGATTAAAGAAGTTTGAATATAAACCAAATTTGATTACATTCACATTTTCTCTTAACACAGATATATTGGCTTTGGCTACAAATACACAACGTTACGGTTTGGTTTCCCCTGGCCAGATTGGACACGGGCACAAAGAGGCCTACAGTTGCTCAGACTGATACAGCATGTCAGATAGCTAATGTTTAGGTGCATGTTGCTACAACATTTCTGTAACAAGTTTTTGCTTGTGTCTATCGGGAGTGAGTTATTTTCCGTTTGCTAAAATAATACCGTAGGAAAGTGGAATGTGCGCTCTGCTTCCTATAGACGTGCGCCATGCCTGACCTGCGATTTCAGTGAATCCGATTGGACACAGAGGTGGCAGTGGCAGTGTGTCACACTCGCAAATGCTTCACAATTTATTTATTTGTAGGCTATAGCCTTGAAATAATGTAAATAAAGGTTAATAATATAGAAATAATTCCTGTCTGGCTCCTGACGTATTTAGAGTGTTTATATGCTGTTTAATACTACACGTAGCCTCTTTGAAATGATGAGCGCTTCTAACAGTCACTTTTTCATGTTGTTTACTAAAATACTTTTCTTAAAATCATATGGTTTGGTTTAAATACTTCAAAACCAAATGGTAGGTCCAGGTAGTCACAAAAATAGATGGGTGTTGGTTAAATTGTGATTTTAATGATTGGAGCGAATATGGAACGGCAGTTTTTTTTTCATGTGAGCAAGGAGAGGTTTTTAGCACTCAACTCCGCTCAAATACTCTGATAGAGAACAGAAGATGCCACAATGTTTGCATGATTAATGCCTAAGCTAATTAATTTCCATGTGTCCTATCTGTGCTTGGCGTTCAAAACAGTTAACGCACACTAAGCTAGCAGTAATATTACAAATCGTATTGAAACATGTTCTCAGAATGTTAATTAATTACCTTCGAATAACCTATAATGTCCATTCTCAGAACGTCAACAAAACCTCCCAGGGCAACTTTTAGGGAACCATAATAAAACATTCTGAGAACCTCCCTGCAAACTAAAAACGAACGTTCCCAGAACAGCTGAAATGTTCACTTTCGTTCTCAGACTGTTCAGACAAACAGATTTTGGTGCGCATTAAATGGAGTCATGAGTGCATTCAAGTGCGTGTTCCGTGGCAAATCTTCTGTTCAGGACAACTCAGGGTATAATGCATGTAATTTTAGTAACTGTGGATCAAACATAGAGATCATGAACTTTGATACTGTAAGTTACATGAGTTTTCAAATATGGAAAGTGCACATTTGGACTCATTTGGTTTGTTTGTATGACATCAAAGCGGTATTTATTATAATCCTCAATGTCTCATCTTTCATAACACATCGACTCCTCTCGATTTAAAGCATTTCCCTCACTCAGACAATAACACATGTGCAAAAGTAGCCCAATTAGCGGGAGGGATGGGGTTATCTTCTTGTTGTGCACGGTGCTCAAGTTTATAACAGCTGTCAGTCAAAACCCCTACCAGTGCTGTGAAGCGAGAACCTGAGCTCTGACGTCATGTATAGCGTGTTCCTGTACAGCCAATGCATTCCAATTTAGGCGCTTATCAATAACAAAATCTGCCATTTTCAACCCCATACACATGGGCTGAGTGAAAAGGGCTATGGGTTGCCCAATTGCCTAGGGTAGGGCTATTCAACTTCTTAAGAGGTCTGGAGCATGCTGGTTTTCTGTTCTACCTGATAATTAATTGCACCCACCTGGTGTCCCAGGTCTAAATCAGTACCTGATTAGCGAGGAACAATTAAAAAATGCAGTGGCACTGGCTTCACAGCGAGGTCCAGAGTTGAGTTTGAGGGGCCTAGGCCAAGTGAACTGTGCAGTCAGGCAAGTTGAGCCTGCTTTAAAGTTGCCCCAGGTGTAAAAAAAAAAAAACGGAAAACCACAAAACTGTAAGGAATTCAAATAGGCATATCCTAAAACTGATATTTCTGGTTCATCCCCATTGTTTAAGTGAAAGACAGATAATTTATGGCAGCCGGGCATATTGAGCCTGCTCTGTGGTTGTCCCATTAAGCAGTGGATTTTTTCAATGGAGTTGCAATGGTTCTAGATTAAAATAATGCTCAGCCTACCACTGGCTTGGTTCTGACTGGGGGAGGAGCTCAGAGCCTGCAATAAAAAGCGGCTGATTCCGTCAAAGGGAAAACAGATTTCTAGGAGGTTTTTGTCTGTCTGGGAACAGGTTTGAAGGGAAATACGTTCTAGTGTAGTTTACTCGTAGAGTAAACATTTTCTCTCACGCTATAGATTGTTGATAGATATCTTTTTCCATAGCTGACAGAATTACAATTCGTTTTCATAATGACTTGGTCTGTAAGCAGTTGTTTCATCACTCTGGTCGTTCTGTTCCTTTGGCGGGTCGAAGACATTGCAGAAGCTTGCAGATGCGCCCCTGTGCATCTTCAACAGGCTTTTTGCAGTGCAGACGTCGGTAAGGCAATTTTGGCAACATTTCTGACTTCTCAGCTTCTCTTCACATGTTGATAGATGGGCTACTACAGTGGTTCTTAACTCCGGTAACCCCAACAGTACATATTTTTTATTGTAGCCCTGGACAAGCACACCTGATTCAACTAATCATCAGGTATTTTTGTCTGGGGCTACAATGTGTGCTGTTGGGGATACTCGAAGGCTGGAGTGGCGAACTACTGGGCTACTACATTATCAATGCGCAGAATGCAAAAATGTTAAGAATTCTCTGGTCTTAATAATAAAAAATCATGACATGATCATTAAGCCTATATTTACATATTCTCACATAAGTAGGCAACAGTAAGCTGGGCTACAGCCAGGTCTCTCCAACCCTGTTCCTGGAGAGCTATGCTCCTAAATGTCTTCAATCCAACCCGCTGTAATTAACCTGATTTCAGTTCATCAACCAGCTAATTATTACTCAGGTGCGCTAGATTAGGGTTGGAGCGAAAACGTACAGGATGGCAGCTCTCCAGGAACAGGGTTGAGAGCCCTGCTACACGAAGCGTTATATTTGGCGTTAGGCCAACACACTATGCCTACAGTTGAATTGTTATTTATCCAAAAGCATACATATATCAACTAAGTTAATAGTATTTTCCTACATTTAACCCAAGGTACTCAGTTGTAGGGTGGACTTTAAGTCAAATAATAGTGGTAGGCTACAGATGCCATATCTTAATTTGAGCCAGATTCACATCAGGAAAATTATCCTACAGCAACAAGATGTGGATTATAATTGATATATTTTTCTGTTGGCAAATCAAGTCTGACATTTTAAAGTGGAAATTAATCATTAGAAGGCTTTTCAAACCTTGAATACACTCAAAGTTTGCATTTCATGCTGTGCAGGAAAATTCCTGAAACATGATGATCAAATTAAGATATGGCATCTGTATATCACTTATCTTGGACAGTTAACATTTTGCTCCTTAAAAAGGAATGTTATTCTCAGCCTGACTTGTACTTGAATTAAGAACGCACACATGCTTCATGATTGTTAAACAATGTTTTCTCTTTAGCGAAGTAGGCGACTACAAGGCTTCTGTACCCGTAGTAGCCACCAATATGAGATTTTCATATTAAATGGACATTACACTCAAGTCTAAGTTTGTCTGTTTTCAGACTTCAAAAGTGATCTTGTGTTGCGGTAAATCCACCTCCCAGGCTCTCTATTGTGTAGATCCAGCTATAGCCCAATCCAAATGAATGGAGGAGATGACAGATATCATATTGCGGTTTTTTTCTTGGTTGCCAATATAAAGTATAAGACTACTTCAAAATGGAGTTGGCCTCAATGGTGCTGCCAGTGCTCTCACAGAGACCATAATAGGACAGATTCAAAGATGGACCATGTCTGTTATTCCTCCACTAGATGGGGTCATTCCTTCAATCATATTCAGTGGTAAATGCTCCATGTGGAGGCTGAATTTGGTTAAAAGGTATGAGTTCCTCTTTGGCCAAACTACTCCCTGACCTCTCTGAGACTTCACTCACATTTTCGGGTAAATTACCATAATCTTCGGCAACCATAACATACTGCTGACTTGTCCGATGGGAAAGTCCCTTTCTGACCTTAAAGTCAATCTCTCTGTGTAGGGTATGATGACATATTGATTAATCGGTTGCAGAATGGTTTTATATGGGCTATGATGAGAACAGAGTTTTTCTAATCAGATCACATAGATTTAAACTCCTGGAAAAACTCCTGGCCCTATAGGGAGGATGAAAACCCTGTCAAAATGCAGCAACCTTCAAATCAAATCAAAGTTTATTGGTCGAGTACACCCAACGCTTAATTTGTAAATTGGGAGGTGCCGGAACAAAAAGTGAGCGCGAGAGGAGGGTGACCTGGGGAGCGCTGAGGTACCGGAACGCATGAGGGGAAAGAAATATCCTTTATAATAAAGCATTGCGCGCATATCATAGCATTTACGTAGTGGCATAGAGCAGTAGAGTAGAGGCACTTACAGAAGATGCACACATGGGGAAAATTTTAGTAGCCTTGGGTCAAGGGAAAATGTGGCCTTTTATAAACGCATTTCATGCAATTCTACATCATTTTACATGACTGGAGACTTTGGCAGAATATTTTTTAATACCGCACAAATTATTGAAATGACAGGCTACTTTGACACTGACAAACTGAGAATCTGAGATCAATAAAAACAACATTGAATCCATCAATAGCATAGGCCTAGGTGTGTGGAGACATATTGTAGGCTACACTATGAGGAGGAAATTATCATCCTAAAAATGATATCCAGTTTTACTGACTCACCCAATCATGCGCAGATCATTCGCTGGTGATGGCAGATGCGTTCGTGCCAAAAGCCTATCTCTGTTGTTTTACTGTGTAAAACAATATTTGGAAGATTATCAAATATTTTGTTAACCTACAGCAGACATATTAGAGTCTTCTCTTTTCAGCAGGAGACATATTGTTTCCAACCTATGTTTTCATGCGATTGCTTTTTAAATATTGTGAAAGGCCTGTTTTGTCTGCATGCTGTGTCAGATTTGCCGCGCGTTTACGACTCTAGGCTATGCCTTGGTTTTGGGCTAAACACAATTCACAGCTAGGCAATAAAAAATAGGCATTTTCATGGTGTAGTAGGCTATTCAGAATTATTTCATGTCTTTCTGAACAGACAGCAGTAATTATATAACTTTGGCAAGTGTATTGGAATGTATCAGGGGTGCTGCAGCTCCTCCAGAACCCTTCGCGTGTCTAGGATTCTATAAGGAAATAAATGATGAAGTGCAACGCTGGAGAGATGAGAGTTTCAGGCTCATGTCTATCAGAGCAGAGAGAGGGAGAGAGATCATAGAAAGTGAATCTTATTCTAGTTCTGTGAGATATACAGTGGGGGAAAAAAGTATTTAGTCAGCCACCAATTGTGCAAGTTCTCCCACTTAAAAAGATGAGAGAGGCCTGTAATTTTCATCATAGGTACACGTCAACTATGACAGACAAATTGAGAAAAGAAAATCCAGAAAATCACATTGTAGGATTTTTAATGAATTTATTTGCAAATTATGGTGGAAAATAAGTATTTGGTCACCTACAAACAAGCAAGATTTCTGGCTCTCACAGACCTGTAACTTCTTCTTTAAGAGGCTCCTCTGTCCTCCACTCGTTACCTGTATTAATGGCACCTTTTTGAACTTGTTATCAGTATAAAAGACACCTGTCCACAACCTCAAACAGTCACACTCCAAACTCCACTATGGCCAAGACCAAAGAGCTGTCAAAGGACACCAGAAACAAAATTGTAGACCTGCACCAGGCTGGGAAGACTGAATCTGCAATAGGTAAGCAGCTTGGTTTGAAGAAATCAACTGTGGGAGCAATTATTAGGAAATGGAAGACACACAAGACCACTGATAATCTCCCTCGATCTGGGGCTCCACGCAAGATCTCACCCCGTGGGGTCAAAATGATCACAAGAACGGTGAGCAAAAATCCCAGAACCACACAGGGGGACCTAGTGAATGACCTGCAGAGAGCTGGGACCAAAGTAACAAAGCCTACCATCAGTAACACACTACGCCGCCAGGGACTCAAATCCTGCAGTGCCAGACGTGTCCCCCTGCTTAAGCCTGTACACGTCCAGGCCCGTCTGAAGTTTGCTAGAGTGCATTTGGATGATCCAGAAGAGGATTGGGAGAATGTCATATGGTCAGATGAAACCAAAATAGAACTTTTTGGTAAAAACTCAACTCGTCGTGTTTGGAGGACAAAGAATGCTGAGTTGCATCCAAAGAACACCATACCTACTGTGAAGCATGGGGGTGGAAACATCATGCTTTGGGGCTGTTTTTCTGCAAAGGGACCAGGACGACTGATCCGTGTAAAGGAAAGAATGAATGGGGCCATGTATCGTGAGATTTTGAGTGAAAACCTCCTTCCATCAGCAAGGGCATTGAAGATGAAACGTGGCTGGGTCTTTCAGCATGACAATGATCCCAAACACACCGCCCGGGCAACGAAGGAGTGGCTTCGTAAGAAGCATTTCAAGGTCCTGGAGTGGCTTAGCCAGTCTCCAGATCTCAACCCCATAGAAAATCTTTGGAGGGAGTTGAAAGTCCGTGTTGCCCAGCGACAGCCCCAAAACATCACTGCTCTAGAGGAGATCTGCATGGAGGAATGGGCCAAAATACCAGCAACAGTGTGTGAAAACCTTGTGAAGACTTACAGAAAACGTTTGACCTGTGTCATTGCCAACAAAGGGTATATAACAAAGTATTGAGAAACTTTTGTTATTGACCAAATACTTATTTTCCACCATAATTTGCAAATAAATTCATTAAAAATCCTACATTTTCTGGATATTTTTTTCTCATTTTGTCTGTCATAGTTGACGTGTACCTATGATGAAAATTACAGGCCTCTCTCATCTTTTTAAGTGGGAGAACTTGCACAATTGGTGGCTGACTAAATACTTTTTTTCCCCACTGTACAGGGCGCTACTCACACAGTCATGGCCAAGCGTTGGTCTCAAACATATGTTACACAAACCATAGGCCCAACCCGAATAAACTCAGAATATCAGGCCCAGGCTGAAAATCTAATTAAAGAAAAGGCAACTCGAATGAACTTTGATCGCTTTTATTATAATTTTTACATTGCAAATAGCGACAATTACTTTTCATGCCAGGAGAGGTAGGGATCCGGACAAATAGGTTCCGGAACGAAACAGTCCACAACGGAGAGATGCCGGATCATGTTCCGGGAGGATCCGGTTCAAATTAAGCACTGCCTACACCGACTTGAAGATGTCATCGCTGATGCAGCAAAATGCTTGTGTTTTCTAGCTCCAAAAGTGCCGTAATATCTAGTAATTAAAAAACAATACACACATAATCGAAAAAGTAAAAAAAAGTACAAATGATCAGAACAAGCAATATCAGAGTCCGGAATATAGACATGATGGACAGTATATGAATAGAAAATGTGTGTACAGCAGTAGTTATAGTAAAACCTTGTACTTACTCATTTGAATTATATTTTAAAACTAGACTAACAGGGGGGATTTCGTTACACAGAGACAACTGTGATTAGACAATATAACTAACAGGGCTGAGCTTACTTTATGCAGGGTTGCATCATGTAGGCCCATGGATGGAAATGGCCAGTGCCCCAAATCCTTAAATTCCATCCCTGTGTAGGCCTATATACATCTGTAATTAAAAGTTACAGGTGCATTAACACAGTCTAGCCTATGTCATCACTATTTATTGATTTGATGAATTTTGGATTAAAGAAGTTTGAATATAAACCAAATTTGATTACATTCACATTTTCTCTTAACACAGATATATTGGCTTTGGCTACAAATACACAACGTTACGGTTTGGTTTCCCCTGGCCAGATTGGACACGGGCACAAAGAGGCCTACAGTTGCTCAGACTGATACAGCATGTCAGATAGCTAATGTTTAGGTGCATGTTGCTACAACATTTCTGTAACAAGTTTTTGCTTGTGTCTATCGGGAGTGAGTTATTTTCCGTTTGCTAAAATAATACCGTAGGAAAGTGGAATGTGCGCTCTGCTTCCTATAGACGTGCGCCATGCCTGACCTGCGATTTCAGTGAATCCGATTGGACACAGAGGTGGCAGTGGCAGTGTGTCACACTCGCAAATGCTTCACAATTTATTTATTTGTAGGCTATAGCCTTGAAATAATGTAAATAAAGGTTAATAATATAGAAATAATTCCTGTCTGGCTCCTGACGTATTTAGAGTGTTTATATGCTGTTTAATACTACACGTAGCCTCTTTGAAATGATGAGCGCTTCTAACAGTCACTTTTTCATGTTGTTTACTAAAATACTTTTCTTAAAATCATATGGTTTGGTTTAAATACTTCAAAACCAAATGGTAGGTCCAGGTAGTCACAAAAATAGATGGGTGTTGGTTAAATTGTGATTTTAATGATTGGAGCGAATATGGAACGGCAGTTTTTTTTTCATGTGAGCAAGGAGAGGTTTTTAGCACTCAACTCCGCTCAAATACTCTGATAGAGAACAGAAGATGCCACAATGTTTGCATGATTAATGCCTAAGCTAATTAATTTCCATGTGTCCTATCTGTGCTTGGCGTTCAAAACAGTTAACGCACACTAAGCTAGCAGTAATATTACAAATCGTATTGAAACATGTTCTCAGAATGTTAATTAATTACCTTCGAATAACCTATAATGTCCATTCTCAGAACGTCAACAAAACCTCCCAGGGCAACTTTTAGGGAACCATAATAAAACATTCTGAGAACCTCCCTGCAAACTAAAAACGAACGTTCCCAGAACAGCTGAAATGTTCACTTTCGTTCTCAGACTGTTCAGACAAACAGATTTTGGTGCGCATTAAATGGAGTCATGAGTGCATTCAAGTGCGTGTTCCGTGGCAAATCTTCTGTTCAGGACAACTCAGGGTATAATGCATGTAATTTTAGTAACTGTGGATCAAACATAGAGATCATGAACTTTGATACTGTAAGTTACATGAGTTTTCAAATATGGAAAGTGCACATTTGGACTCATTTGGTTTGTTTGTATGACATCAAAGCGGTATTTATTATAATCCTCAATGTCTCATCTTTCATAACACATCGACTCCTCTCGATTTAAAGCATTTCCCTCACTCAGACAATAACACATGTGCAAAAGTAGCCCAATTAGCGGGAGGGATGGGGTTATCTTCTTGTTGTGCACGGTGCTCAAGTTTATAACAGCTGTCAGTCAAAACCCCTACCAGTGCTGTGAAGCGAGAACCTGAGCTCTGACGTCATGTATAGCGTGTTCCTGTACAGCCAATGCATTCCAATTTAGGCGCTTATCAATAACAAAATCTGCCATTTTCAACCCCATACACATGGGCTGAGTGAAAAGGGCTATGGGTTGCCCAATTGCCTAGGGTAGGGCTATTCAACTTCTTAAGAGGTCTGGAGCATGCTGGTTTTCTGTTCTACCTGATAATTAATTGCACCCACCTGGTGTCCCAGGTCTAAATCAGTACCTGATTAGCGAGGAACAATTAAAAAATGCAGTGGCACTGGCTTCACAGCGAGGTCCAGAGTTGAGTTTGAGGGGCCTAGGCCAAGTGAACTGTGCAGTCAGGCAAGTTGAGCCTGCTTTAAAGTTGCCCCAGGTGTAAAAAAAAAAAACGGAAAACCACAAAACTGTAAGGAATTCAAATAGGCATATCCTAAAACTGATATTTCTGGTTCATCCCCATTGTTTAAGTGAAAGACAGATAATTTATGGCAGCCGGGCATATTGAGCCTGCTCTGTGGTTGTCCCATTAAGCAGTGGATTTTTTCAATGGAGTTGCAATGGTTCTAGATTAAAATAATGCTCAGCCTACCACTGGCTTGGTTCTGACTGGGGGAGGAGCTCAGAGCCTGCAATAAAAAGCGGCTGATTCCGTCAAAGGGAAAACAGATTTCTAGGAGGTTTTTGTCTGTCTGGGAACAGGTTTGAAGGGAAATACGTTCTAGTGTAGTTTACTCGTAGAGTAAACATTTTCTCTCACGCTATAGATTGTTGATAGATATCTTTTTCCATAGCTGACAGAATTACAATTCGTTTTCATAATGACTTGGTCTGTAAGCAGTTGTTTCATCACTCTGGTCGTTCTGTTCCTTTGGCGGGTCGAAGACATTGCAGAAGCTTGCAGATGCGCCCCTGTGCATCTTCAACAGGCTTTTTGCAGTGCAGACGTCGGTAAGGCAATTTTGGCAACATTTCTGACTTCTCAGCTTCTCTTCACATGTTGATAGATGGGCTACTACAGTGGTTCTTAACTCCGGTAACCCCAACAGTACATATTTTTTATTGTAGCCCTGGACAAGCACACCTGATTCAACTAATCATCAGGTATTTTTGTCTGGGGCTACAATGTGTGCTGTTGGGGATACTCGAAGGCTGGAGTGGCGAACTACTGGGCTACTACATTATCAATGCGCAGAATGCAAAAATGTTAAGAATTCTCTGGTCTTAATAATAAAAAATCATGACATGATCATTAAGCCTATATTTACATATTCTCACATAAGTAGGCAACAGTAAGCTGGGCTACAGCCAGGTCTCTCCAACCCTGTTCCTGGAGAGCTATGCTCCTAAATGTCTTCAATCCAACCCGCTGTAATTAACCTGATTTCAGTTCATCAACCAGCTAATTATTACTCAGGTGCGCTAGATTAGGGTTGGAGCGAAAACCTACAGGGTGGCAGCTCTCCAGGAACAGGGTTGAGAGCCCTGCTACACGAAGCGTTATATTTGGCGTTAGGCCAACACACTATGCCTACAGTTGAATTGTTATTTATCCAAAAGCATACATATATCAACTAAGTTAATAGTATTTTCCTACATTTAACCCAAGGTACTCAGTTGTAGGGTGGACTTTAAGTCAAATAATAGTGGTAGGCTACAGATGCCATATCTTAATTTGAGCCAGATTCACATCAGGAAAATTATCCTACAGCAACAAGATGTGGATTATAATTGATATATTTTTCTGTTGGCAAATCAAGTCTGACATTTTAAAGTGGAAATTAATCATTAGAAGGCTTTTCAAACCTTGAATACACTCAAAGTTTGCATTTCATGCTGTGCAGGAAAATTCCTGAAACAGGATGATCAAATTAAGATATGGCATCTGTATCACTTATCTTGGACAGTTAACATTTCGCTCATTTGTTCCTTAAAAAGGAATGTTATTCTCAGCCTGACTTGTACTTGAATTAAGAACGCACATATGCTTCATGATTGTTAAACAATGTTTTCTCTTTAGTGAAGTAGGTGACTACAAGTCTTCTGTACCCGCAGTAGCCACCAATATGAGATTTTCATATTAAATGGACATTACACTCAAGTCTAAGTTTGTCTGTTTCAGACTTCAAAAGTGATCTTGTGTTGCGGTAAATCCACCTCCCAGGCTATCTATTGTGTAGATCCAGCTACATGCCACAATCCCAAATGAATGGAGGAGATGAGCACCATGTAATATCCATATTTGCGGTGCTTATCTTTCCTATTCATTTGGAGTTGAGGTGTAGTTGGATCTGCATAACTGATGGTGGGGGATGTGGAGCCATCTTGAGGTCTGAAAACATCTGACAAATTTAGAATGGCGTGTAATGTCCCCTTTAAGTAGCTGGTACAGCTGTTAGTAAAAACCCAGTCTACTGTAGTTTCATTAGATCAGGATGTCTGCAAAACAAAAACTCTATAATTCCAGTGATAAAAGCAACAAGTACTACTATGTGGTGTACTGGTCCTAATGATGATGGAACAGCTCTGGAATAGAGTGAGCTTGACATCATTACAGGAGAAGTTCATCTGTTTGTCAAGGACAAATCTAAAAAAGAAAGTGAGGTTGGCGCTGTCAGCACCTTCTACCCAGACAGATGGGCTGTATGTGACTGTCTGTGCCTGTGAAGGCTCCTCAGCAGGCCAGGCACATTAATTTTCTCTGATTACAGCTGATGTAACACTCATGTGTCTCAGTCTTCCTACCAGCACCTGGTTGGCACCTGAACCATCTGCAGGGCAGCATAGTTAAACCAGGCGTGTTGAATTAAAGGAGCAGCAGATGACCAGAGCTAGGAATCTAGGACCGGGGGGGAAAATGGACTTAGTCGTCTGTTTTGGAGCAAACCTAGCCAAAAATGTTATACCCAAACAGCGTCAACACATGCAAAAACATTCTGAAAAGACTGTAAAATCTTGGGTCTGTAAAGCATTCTACTGTTCTTCTCTTAGATCCTATAACACCCTTAAACCATCAGTGTCTGACTGACCAGTAACTTAATTGATTATTTCAGTGGAGTTAAACCATGTTTCTCTTCTAGTGATCAGGGCAAAGGTGGTTGGAGTGACTGTTGGGTCTAACACCAAGTATGACATCCAACAGATTAAGGTATGATTAGCCTTTTTATTAAGTGGATGTTCCTTCCTGCACTGCAACATTGAAGCCCCCTGAACCCCAGTCTGACAGCTGGTCCCAATTTGCTCCTTGGCCCAACCCTTCAATGTTTGCAGATCTTCTAGATGGGTAGAAGCAGTGTAGTTGTGGAGATTCCACCATATGGAAAAATAGCTTCTTTTATAGAAATGAGTCTTGCTAGAAAGCACATTATTCAGTCAACGTTCCTACCAGTCCTACACTATGGTGACATCGTCTATATGAATGCAGCTGCCATTTTCATTAAAGCTTTTAAAAGCAGTTTATCATAAAGCCCTTTATTACTGGTTGCATTCTCTACCAGGAAGTTGGTTGGCTCTCTTTGACGTCACGTAGGTTGCTAAATTGCTAGATTTTCATTTATAAAGCCCTTTTACTCAAACTCACTGTACCTAACATCATTACTAACCTTCAGACATTTGAGTTACCACAGCCGGTCTCAGATCAGGGATGGCTAACTCTGGAAATTCCTTTGGTCTCTACTGAGTTGGGTGAATCAGCTTGACATGTTTTTGTTCCACAAATACAGTGCAATCTTCAAAATGTTCTATATGTGATGTTTTGGTGCCTCTAGGGCTATTCAGAAAGCTCATTGAGGACCTAATTGTTTGTTTTAATTTGTGTTTTTCTGCTTAGATTGTGCATTTGTGTAATTCAGGGATCATCTGTAAATAAATAAAAAAGACCTTGGTCTCAGTATGACACCCTGATAAAACAAAGGTTAGATTAATAAATATTTATAGATCTGCAAACTTCCAAGGGTTAGGGCTGAGGGGATGGGGTGTAGGGAGGGAATTAGCAAAGACTGACTGCCTGAGAGCTGCAGTCAGTTAGGTTCAAAACTGTATATGTTTGACAGATCCTTCTCGCTCTCCTCCTTGTGATTGGCTAGATGTTCAAAGGTCCTGACCGGGTTATCCACGCCATCTTCACTTCATCGTCTTCAGCCTCGTGCGGCGTGACTCTGGAAACCAACAAGGAGTATCTCATCACCGGTGCAGTTCTCACTACGTTACCCAAGTTCCATTGGCAGCACTGGTTAAACTGCTCAAACTATTGACTTTATCTTGTACAAGAAAACAAGTGCTTTAGAAACAATACTTTCTCTGTACATCTTCAAGTTACACTTGTAATACTTAATATGTTATGAATTTAAATGTTTTATAACGATTATAAATGTTTACAACTAATGCATTACTTATTATGATAAATTCCAGTGTTCTGGGCTGCATCGGTATGTCTACCTGCTCCAGGGTAGTTTCCGGATCTAGGATCAGTTTCCCCTCTGCTAATCTTAACCGTTCATGGGGGAACAGAGGTGAAACTGATCCAAGTTCAGCGTCTAGGGAACACTTTTACCCTACACCAGGTTTTCCCCACAGCACAGTGATGGCTCACTGTCTCCTCTCTGTCTGCAGGCCAGCTGAATACTGCTGGAAGGATGCACATAATAACGTGTAACTTTATTCAGTACTGGGAGGACCTGAGTGGCACACAAAAGAAGAGCTTGACTCGACGCTACCAAAGCGGCTGCGATTGCACGGTGTGTGACTGGAATTATAGTAATATTACTATACACCAGTTTTGTTCAATATTTACTCTGGTAAAACACACGAGCTAGCGTATTGGGGTAATGATCAGTCCGTCATCTTGGTCTTTCTCTCTCCTTACTCCGATCCACAGATCATCCGCTGCTCTTCCCTCCCCTGTCCGGTCAGCACCCCAGATGAGTGCCTTTGGACAGACTGGTTGTTGGAAGATGGCCAAAGCGGACCCCAAGCTAAGAACTTTGCCTGTCTCAAGAGGAGTGATGGGTCCTGTACCTGGTACATGGGGATGGCTCAATCCAATAAGTAGTTCCTGGATATTGAAGACTCCTGAACTCTACAGGCCATCCGCTCCGTGACTAAAGATGCCTGCAATTAATAACTGGTCACTTGTGTAATAAAAAAAACTACTACTCAAATATAGTGCTTCAAGTGTTAATTTCTTGTGCCATTCATCTGTTTTAAAAAAAAAAAAAACTGGAACCAAAGGTGTTAGTGAAACCCAAAAAGGGTGACATCAAAGTGGTGTTGGCCGACGTGGTTGTGTTTCTAAATAGAACATTATTCCTGAAAAATACCATCCGAATGCCTGGGGCATGTTCAGCTGGGCACGACATTGTAAAACATTCAGATTGTATTGTAGTGTCTAAACAGTTTATGATTTGTTGATGTTTGCAAATGGTGTGTTAGAGGAAGTCTTATGTGGAGTCCTGGGATTGGTTAATGGGAAACCACCCATTATGTTACATAGGATATAAATACCATGGTTGAAACAGGAGGGGTAGTAACAACATTAAGAGATTGGGCCATTGTTCTCCAGATGTCTGTAAATTGGCGCTGAGATCTTCAATGTAATAAATAATTATAATCGAGGACAGTGTCAGCGGATTTCTTGTTCTCTCAGCATCGTTTTCTCGACACTACAGTATGTTATGTACATAAACAAACAGGCTTCTCTGACGTGCAGGCGTGGTTCCCTAGTGCACGCTAAATAAATCTTAATTAAACTGCTGAAAACCCTCCCACTTGCTGGCCAACCGATTGTCAGGGTTTTCAGTACATTTATCTAAAGTCATCACTTTAAATTTGTACTTAAATTGTTTTCCATTTCCTCGACACTCACTACCCCACTGGGCCATAACTGGTTGAATCAACGCTGTTCCATGTAATTTTTAACACGTGTTGAACCCTCGGCTCATGCTTCTAATGTTTGCAGATTTCTAGATGGGTAGAAGCAGTGTAGTTGTGGAGATTCCACCATATGGAAAAATAGCTCTTTTATAGAAATGAGTCTTGCTAGAAAGCACATTATTCAGTCAACGTTCCTACCAGTCCTACACTATGGTGACATCGTCTATATGAATGCAGCTGCCATTTTCATTAAAGCTTTTAAAAGCAGTTTATCATAAAGCCCTTTATTACTGGTTGCATTCTCTACCAGGAAGTTGGTTGGCTCTCTTTGACGTCACGTAGGTTGCTAAATTGCTAGATTTTCATTTATAAAGCCCTTTTACTCAAACTCACTGTACCTAACATCATTACTAACCTTCAGACATTTGAGTTACCACAGCCGGTCTCAGATCAGGGATGGCTAACTCTGGAAATTCCTTTGGTCTCTACTGAGTTGGGTGAATCAGCTTGACATGTTTTTGTTCCACAAATACAGTGCATCTCTATATGTGATGTTTTGGTGACCTCTGGGCTATCAGAAAGATAGGACTATGTTTGTTTGAATTTGTGTTTTTCTGCTTAGATTGTGCATTTGTGTCAATTCAGGGATCGTCTGTAAGTAAATAAAAAAGACCTTGGTCTCAAGTATGGGACACCCTGATAAAAAATCAAAGGTTAGATTAATAAAATATTTATAGATCTGCAAACTTCCAAGGGTTAGGGCTGAGGGGATGGGGTGTAGGGAGGGAATTAGCAAAGCTGACTGCCTGGATAGCTGGCAGTCAGGTAGGTTCAAAAAACTGTATATGTTTGACAGATCCTCATCCGCTCTCCTCCTTGTGATTGGCTAGATGGTTCAAGGTCCATGACCGGGTTATCCACGCCATCTTCACTCATCGTCTTCAGCCTCGTGCGGCGTGACTCTGGAAACCAACAAGGAGTATCTCATCACCGGTGCAGTTCTCACTACTTACCCAAGTTCCATTGCCAGCACTGGTTAAACTGCTCAAACTATTGACTTCATCTTGTACAAGAAAACAAGTGCTTTAGAAACAATACTTTCTCTGTAAATCTTCAAGTTACACTTGTAATACTTAATATGTTATGAATTTAAATGTTTTATAACAATTATAAATGTTTATCATAATAAGTGATGCATTAGTTGTAAATACCAGTGTTCTGGGCTGCATCGGTATGTCTACCTGCTCCAGGGTAGTTTCCGGATCTAGGATCAGTTTCCCCTCCGCTAATCTTAACCGTTCATGGGGGAACAGAGGTGAAACTGATCCAAGATCAGCGTCTAGGGAACACTTTTACCCTACACCAGGTTTTCCCCCACAGCACAGTGATGGCTCACTGTCTCCTCTCTGTCTGCAGGCCAGCTGAATACTGCTGGAAGGATGCACATAATAACGTGTAACTTTATTCAGTACTGGGAGGACCTGAGTGGCACACAAAAGAAGAGCTTGACTCGACGCTACCAAAGCGGCTGCGATTGCACGGTGTGTGTGACTGGAATTATAGTAATATTACTTTACACCAGTTTTGTTCAATATTTACTCTGGTAAAACACATGAGCTAGCGTATTGGGGTAATGATCAGTCCGTCATCTTGGTCTTTCTCTCTCCTTACTCCGATCCACAGATCATCCGCTGCTCTTCCCTCCCCTGTCCGGTCAGCACCCCAGATGAGTGCCTTTGGACAGACTGGTTGTTGGAAGATGGCCAAAGCGGACCCCAAGCTAAGAACTTTGCCTGTCTCAAGAGGAGTGATGGGTCCTGTACCTGGTACAGGGGGATGGCTCAATCCAATTAGTAGTTCCTGGATATTGAAGACTCCTGAACTCTACAGGCCATCCGCTCAGTGACTAAAGATGCCTGCAATTAATAACTGGTCACTTGTGTAATAAAAAAAAAAACTACTACTCAAATATAGTGCTTCAAGTGTTAATTTCTTGTGCCATTCATCAGTTTTTTTTTTAAAACTGGAACCAAAGGTGTTAGTGAAACCCAAAAAGAGTGACATCAAAGTGGTGTTGGCCGACGTGGTTGTGTTTCTAAATATAACATTATTCCTGAAAAATACCATCCGAAAGCCTGGGGCATATTCAGCTGGGCACGACATTGTAAAACATTCAGATTGTATTGTAGTGTCTAAACAGTTTATGATTTGTTGATGTTTGCAAATGGTGTGTTAGAGGAAGTCTTATGTGGAGTCCTGGGATTGGTTAATGGGAAACCACCCATTATGTTACATAGGATATAAATACCATGGTTGAAACAGGAGGGGTAGTAACAACATTAAGAGATTGGGCCATTGTTCTCCAGATGTCTGTAAATTGGCGCTGAGATCTTCAATGTAATAAATAATTATAATCGAGGACAGTGTCAGCGGATTTCTTGTTCTCTCAGCATCGTTTTCTCGACACTACAGTATGTTATGTACATAAACAAACAGGCTTCTCTGACGTGCAGGCGTGGTTCCCTAGTGCACGCTAAATAAATCTTAATTAAACTGCTGAAAACCCTCCCACTTGCTGGCCAACCGATTGTCAGGGTTTTCAGTACATTTATCTAAAGTCATCACTTTAAATTTGTACTTAAATTGTTTTCCATTTCCTCGACACTCACTACCCACTGGGCCATAACTGGTTGAATCAACGCTGTTTCCATGTAATTTTTAACACGTGTTGAATCAATGTGAAACAGATTTTGGTTTTGAAAAGCTTTTTTTAACCTAAATCCAATGACATAGTGACTTTTTGTATTCGCGAGTAGTTGACAACCCAACCAAATGTAAATCAAATCTAGATGTTGAAATGATGTCTGTGCCCAGTGGGTAGACTATATGGAGAGAACAGTTCAGAATATTTTGGATCAATGAAAGGAAGCTGTGTAAATCCACGCATATTTGTCTCCTTTTCAGCACCAATTGGTAATATACAAATACTCTGATCTTGTATATTTAAGGTTTGGAACGTATTTATGAACAGTTAAACTGGTTTGGAGAGCCATTGGTGACTAAAAAATAATATTGATAAAAGCTAGGTAAATGACTAAGTCAGATAAGGGGATTGCAAATATAAATGACAAATCGTTTTAGATTTTTTACCTTGTGATCGCTGGAGACCAATGTGAAATCCGTCATCAGGCAGCAAACCGAAGCATATCACCTTTTCCATAGTGAAGTTTATGAAATGCTGGCCTTATAACAAATTACATTTGGAGACTCAAGCTATAGGTTTCTGTAGCCATGCACAAATGACAGCATAGCGCCAAACCAGAGTTGATTTATGATTTCTAGAATATTTTAATTATATTCCTAGACTTTTCACTGTATTTTACAATTTGTATCATGTTAAATATTAGCCACTATCGGTAGCCACCATCAGTTATACCAACAGAAATGTATAACTGACACTTTAGTGTTAGTTCCCTTACATTTTGCATCACTCCATTATATTAGTTTATCTTTCTTTCCTCATGTTCTTGTGGTTGTTCCTGAGGATCGCTAGCAATAGTGGATCATATTAAGTTGTGAAACAATTTTGGACATGTAGCCTATTTGAATCCTTATTGACGCACCAGTGCATCAAAGCAACATAAAAATCAGAATCTGTCAGTTTAAGCTAGAGATATGTTTTTTTGCATGGGCTGCGTCTCAATCCACCGCATCCACCTATGTCGCCCTTCCACATTTGCGGTGGAAAGTGGCAGAGCTACAGCATTGTTTGTCAGACCAGGAGACATACCGAAAATCGGTGTTCTCACAAAAACGTCTGTAGAATCTGAACGGTTTGGCCTACAAACTAATGTGACTCTTTAGAAAGGGGAGACTCTCACGAAGACGATGGTGTTCTCCGTTTTGCTCTACAACCCCACAAGCCCCACGGGACTCCTCTGAAGTCAGTAATGCTGATGTGCCAACTTTGGAGCGTCCAAACTGTTTGGGCTACTAACTAATATGACCCCACTGTAAAAAGGTGAGACTCTCTAGGACCCCCACAAGTGTCACTGGACTCGTCTAAAGGTAACCCATACAAATGTATGCAGATAGTTTTGTGCCAACAAAAATAAGGGGTTAAATGTGTCAAAAACCAAAATATTTCCTGAGTTTATATCTCCTAGATATAGGAAAGACACTTCAAAACCTTATTCCTTGTGATTCATTTTTTGACTGTTTTTTCCCCTTACATTTATGAATGTGTTATTCAATGTGTTTCTATGGGCTATAGTAGTAAAGGCCAAATTCAATATTTTACCCCCCCCCCCCCCCCAAAAAAAAAAAACATATCTCTTTTAATACCTAAAGGGGTCCTAAAATCAAATAGCTAAAATATTTATGGTACTGTATGACCTTCCCTTAGACTTTGAAGAATTAAAGCTGGAACCTGGCGCACCAACTGAACCGTTGTCATCACAGTTACATGATTAATGAGGATTATTAGGGTAGATTCATAGGACTACTGTTCAACCCATATTGTAGACTTTTCTTACCTTCCAATATTTCTTGCATTGAACAATTGAATATGGCAACTTTCAGGATGATTCAAACCACTGTATTTTTGATTCACCAATATATTCCAAACCAGTTTTTTTTTATTATTCTTAAATACTTTCCTAACCCTAAAAAATATACAAGATCTGCTGCAAAAGAGACGAATATGCATGTGTTTACATGGATTTCCTTCGTTGATCCTTAATATTCTGAACTGTTCTTTCCATTTATTCTAGTGCAGGGGTCTCCAACAGGTCGATCGCAAGCTATCAGTAGTTAGCAAAACAATTCTGAAAGTATATGCATTTTTTATGTGTTTCACCGCAAACGGTCATAAATCTCATAAGTATCAGATACCGCAAGCTCCCAGCTACTATCTAATCAACGCGTCATTGACATTATCCCACCCCAGGTTAGCCACTATTGGCTTTAAAAGCCAAACCTAACACAATATCTGCCAATTAATTTCCAGCAATATTGCCCATCTGTCTTTATGGTGAGCGCGTTTTGTCTATCACTGTCCGTAGCCAGTTGATGTCATAACTGTCTTGTGGGTTGACAGAAATACTTTCCCCAAAACCTTCTCAATTAAATGTTAACTGCAAAGTAGGTTTACCTGGCAGAAGTATATCATGAGTAAGTCTATCCTTTGTATCTACTATTTGTTATTTGCCAACTTTGCCATGAAATGAGCAGCAGCAGTACAGAACCATCGCTAGATGACACATTAGACTGCACATTCCTCACTCGTGACATGTTTAATTGTTCAAAGGCAGCTCTCATACTAGAAAAGGTTGGAGACCCCTGTTCTAATGAGTCTGTCATGAAAATTAAAATGAAAGGTAAACCAAATTTAAAGGGATGGCTTTAGATAAAGGCACTGGAAACACTGTTGAATGAAAACTCCATGAGAAAATCTGTTGGCCAGCAAGTGGGAGGGTTTTCAGAGGTTGAATTACATTTATCCAACGCGCGCAAGGGAACCACACCTGCAAAGCCTGTAATGCACCTGCATAAGGTAAGTCTGAATACCAACTACTGAGAAGTATGTAGGAAAGGGGTGCGTAGGAAAGGCGTACATTTCCTAAGTCTGAATCAGGCCTTATAACGGCTTCATCATTCGTATTATTATATGTACTGGCTTATCTGAGGTCTTGCTATCGACAAACCCCTTTGTTGATTTCTCTGTTTGTAAACCTGGCTGCTTTGGTTCACACAGTGCAATGTTTACAATGGGTTTCATAAGTATTCACCCCCTTGGATTTTTTCACATTTTGTTGCGCTACAAAGTTGGATTGTAATACATTTAATTGTGATTTATTTTGTCATTGATCTACAATTAATAATTAATAGAACTTAAGTAACTAACATATAGTTGTTGCATAAGTATTTACCCCCTTTGTTTAGGCAAACTGGCGCAGTGGTCTAAGGCACTGCATCGCAGTGCTAACTGTGCCACTAGAGATCCTGGTTCGAATCCAGGCTCTGTCGCAGCCGGCCGCGACCGGGAGACTCATGGGCGGCGCACAATTGGCCCAGCGTCGTCCAGGGTAGGGGAGGGAATGGCCGGCAGGGATGTAGCTCAGTTGATAGAGCATGGCGTTTGCAACGCCTGGGTTGTGGGTTCGATTCCCACGGGGGGCCAGTATAAAAATATATGTATTCACTAACTGTAAGTCGCTCTGGATAAGAGCGTCTGCTAAATGACTAAAATGTAAAATGTGGCTGACTAGAACACATAATAAGTTACATGGACTTACTCTGTGTGAAATAATAGGGGTTGACATGATTTTTGAATGACTATACCTTACCCATTCAAACACTGTCTGTAAAGTCCGTCAGTCAAGTGTTGAATTTCAAGCACAAAGACCAGGGAGCTTTTCGACAGCCTCATAAAGAAGGGCAGTGATTGGTAGATGGGTAACAATAAGACATAAGACATTGAATATCTCTTTAAGCATGAATAATAATTCTCAAAAGAATAATGGGCAAATATTGCACAATCCAGGTGTGCAAAGCTCTTAGAGACATAGGGCTCTATTAAATCAGATCCGCTTTATCCGACATCCGCACAACAGTTGTTTTGGTGGTGTCGGTGGTGGAACTGCGTAAGAGCTGTCAAATCCACAAGCGGCTCCTGGTATTATACCTAAATTGGACAGTCGCATTAAGATAAATCCCATGCGACCTTGTTTAAAAGTTTGAACACTGGAATGTGAGATGCAATCTACAACTCGATTAGGCTGATAGAAATCCTCATTATATTGTTTAATACATTTCATTTTGAGCGTCATTTTCTATATAGCCTACAATTTGTGACAACAATCAAGAGCAGCTGCTCACTGAC